GATAGAAAAAAACATGGCTGCACTTAACGATAATCAATTTTAATAATTGAAAAGATAATGTAAAATAATGCCACCTTTTTTGGATATGAATTCAAAAGTCATAATGTATTTTAGATATACCATCCTTCAGATGTTCATAAAAACAAATTTTATTTTTGAAAGTTGTCTTAAATTCGCCTCAATGGTAATAATCCCATGTCTTCTTATTTACATATTCATTAATTTGTTCGTCAATATTTAGATATGAGACGAGGTTTTACCCAAAAAGATATTTTGGTACAAGATGCATTTTACAAATATGTAAACGTGTGGAAGACTCTTTTTTTTTATAAAGCATCATAGTGACATCATAAGTACGAGTCTGCACTTAAGTGTCAAGATTATGTCAAACTTTTCACTTATCAATAAAATTATACTGTTTTGAAGGACATAAATGTTTTACCTTTTTTGCCTTTTCCGTGTCAAAATAATTACTCTTCCGGATTTCTGTTTGTCTGATGCTTAATGATGAATATTTTCAAGCTTTAAAGTATTGATAATTTAGAGACTAAACACCAATTTTTAAATCTATATCAGTTCATGAAAATGGATTGGGTCATATACATTGCAACAATGATACCCCAAAAAGGTTTAAGTTGAGACTTTTGGGGAATCATTAAAACTTCACTTACAAGAGTAAATTGGCCTTAGCAGAATATACTACATAGAAGATATTTTTTATGAAACCCATCTTGAAATATCAGACAGCTTGAGACAGGGCACCATAGGACGATATCAGTCTTAGTCTTTTTGATTTTAAACGCAAAAAAAACCCCCAAAAATTCCTGTAAAGGACCAGGAATATTCCTGAAAAAAATATGGACCTTTCATAGATTTTATAGAAAAAGAGAATAGCCATTGTTAAAATAGAGTCTAGTTTGCCAATAAAGGATATTCTTTGGAGTCTCTGGATCATGACAATGCCCATTTTTTTCTTTTTGAAAAACAGCATAAAAAAAGAATTCTAGACACCTCTTTGATGCAAAATATGTATTTTATAAAATATAGTTTGGTGTAACAATAAAAAAAGAAGGAAGTCGAGGGGAAACTGTATATGTAAACTCTTTTTTGTAGAAGTATTTTCTATGGAAACATGTCATAAAAGTTAAATTGTCGAAGGCCGTACACTGATAAGTATTATTTTCATATCTGAGACTTTAATCTGTGTACAACCTAGAATAATGATATAATCTATTAAAAAATACAGGAATCCAACAAGTTGACATTAGTTACCGTTGATAAGCTTACTGAAGCAAATCTACTGTAAATCGCACCTCGAACACAATTAAATTTATAATAAGATTTGAGAATATTGACGTATTTAGAATATTGAAGAGTGTACTAATCACGATGAAAATTCAAACATTGGAATAATTATGAAGAACATATATCAAAGTGGATTTGAGTATAATTCGTTCATTGTCAAAAAGTCAATCATTGATTTGAAAACAGTTTGTCTTGCAAATGCAATATGTTATAAATATAAAGTTTTTTTTAAAGGTATTTATTTTTCAAATATTAAAACATTGAAAGGGTAGATCTTCTCAGCAACGTCATTACAGGCTTTAATTGAACCCGAATCTGGAAAGTTGATATATAAATTCGGCAAGACGTCCAACTATCTGCAAATTGTCAATTGGCCAGGCACACACCCCATTTGTTTATATTATGACAAGTAGCTATAAATGCTTTATAGATGGATTGATATACAATTCCGATGCAAGATAAAATAATTTCAGAAAACCACTCAGTTACAAACCTGTATCGAAGAATGCTTCCAATATCTGTACAGTTCACAGTTCTATGTTTTGATCAATGGGAGTAAAACAATACCATTAAACAGTTAAATCATTCAAAATAAATATCACAAATAAGATGTAAAACATATTTGACCTTGTTTACCTTTTTGTTTTGAGGATCATGAGGACAAGAAAACTAGTTATATGACAATACGAATATAGCGAGACAGGAGCTCGTCCTTGATTTAATTCATTTGTAGCATACTGGTCTTTAAAATAACTTGATTTTGTTGAAGAGCACAGGTTGTCTTTTTAAGATTATTTAACATTTTGTTTAAGCTTGATACATATTATAATTCGACATCGTAATCAGTAATCCTAATCAGCTGTAATTAATTACATTTTGCAGAGTATTCACATGCAATCAGTAATCATGCATTTTCTCATAACAAGTAATCGTAATGTAATCGATTACAATGCAAAAAACAGGTGTAATCATGATTACTTTTAGATTACATCTATATAATTACTTGCTGATTACAAATTTTATATATAAAAATTGTGTTTTATATACAAGTATAAATACTGAAAATCATCAAACTATTGTTCATTATGATTGATCATGGTTCAATATGATTGATCCTACTAACTATTCGATAATTTCAGTTTCAGTATACTCATGCTTAAGGGGATGTAGAGTGTAAATGTCTGGCTTTTTTAATAGTTTACTACATGAATTTACCTTTCCAAAAAGTTCATTTTGAGATTGAGTCTTTATCATATACAATGTATTTTGTTGTTCTCTGTTAAGGTTAAGTGCAAATATTGCTCTTTATATTGACTTCAATGATCAATTTAAATTATAATGGAATTTAGAATTAACAATTTTTTTACAATTTTTATTAAAATAAAAATCAATATTTTTTATTTCATGTGTTTGTAGAGAAATATAAATTTTACAATCATGTATATAATGAAAATAAGCTGCATACAAATGTATTAATCATTCCAATCAAAACAATTCTTTTTGATTAGCCAAGCTCACTTATTGTTTGTCATAAGATTTGAAGTAGTGATTAACACCTATAAAAACACATATAAGTGTCAATTATGTCCCCACAGACAATAGGCTACTAGATCATTAGATAGTCACTATTTGTTAATTTCTTTTTCTGATTTGAAAATATGTTTTGGGCAAAAATCATTAAAAAAAAACAATATTATGTCTTTAACAGAGAAAGCACAGAGACATTATTATACATTCAATTAAATCTGTCAAATACAATTATGTCATCAAATAATACAAATATTACACTGCTCCTGTTTCAAGTTTTTGATAAATAACATGCTTATATTAAAAATATTAAAAACACAACTTTTCACTAAGAATAGCTTTTTAATGTGTAAATAAAATGTTTTAAAAATATGTTTTTAAAAACACAGTATACAATGTAATCATAAGTAATCTTAAGTAATCATGTTTGCTTTAAAGAAAAGTAATGTAAAGTAATCCATTACATTTGATTTTAGGTGTAATTGTAATGAAGTCTATTAAATTGAATAAGCAAAGTAATTGTAATGTAATCAATTACTTTTTAAAGTAATCGACCCCATCCCTGATTATAATCACTTGTTTATGAATGAAGACTTTGTGATTACAATACCACTCAAATTACATTTGCATGATTTAAATGTAAACGAAAACATTAGACTCAACATTTGAATAAACGATGAGATTATCAGTGGAAGGAATAAAAAAGTACAGATAATTAATTTATGTACAAAATCTGTTTGTTTTGTTCATACATTGTTGTCAATATAATGGAATTTTATGCGACTGTCATACAAGTGAGAGATTTAGCTAGCTATAAAACCAGGTTTAATTCACCATTTTCTACATCAGGAAATGCCTGTACCAAGTTAGCCATATGACAGTTGTTTTCCATTCGTTTGATGTTTTCCATTTGATAAGGAACTTTCCGTTTTGAATTTTCCTTGGAGTTCAGTATTTTTGTTATTTTACTTTTTGCTATAATATACAAGAATACAAACAAAAAGGTTGAACATTTTTTTCTAATGCTATACATAATAATTCTATAATTTGTATATAAATAAGAATAAAGAGTACTTTGATGCCCATCTCAACGTTCTTTTCGAAATTATTCATATTTGTATTGACACAAAGTCCTTCACAGACCCGTCAATATGTGTACAACCATGGATTGAACTAATAAATGTGCAGGCGTGCTTAGTTCAATTAAATAATAAAACGTATTTATAAAAAAAAATGACCTATTTGTAGACCGACACATTTGATGAATTAGGTGAACAGACAGTGTATGAAATTTTAAGCAAAATATGTCAGGACCACGACTTATATATAAAAACAGCATTACCGGTGAGTTATTGCGAACCCAATGAAAGTTTTCCACAGTGCCATCTCTATCTTGACCAGGTATTTAAACTTTTGCAAGTTCACCTGTCCTATTGAATAAATACAATAGCTATTGTTCTCTGTGTAGTTTATTCTCTGGGACCTTTAAATTTCTTCTAAAAAATCTATCATTCATTGATTAAATTACCAGAGTAAAAAAAAATTCTTATATATAGACAAAAATACTTTTTTTATACTCATTAATTGCGTGTGATGATGTATTTATTCAATATTAATAATATATTTTCATTCAGTTTAATATAAACATTGATTCGATCATAAAAAGTTGATTTCTCACAAAAGTTTTATCAATGTTCCTATTGAAATTTGATTTTTTTTTTTTTAGTTATAGAACACATTTAAGAAGATCTTAGTTTGAAACATCATTATTTTCAAGTTCTTATTCATGTCAAACAAATTTTTTTTTAAAAGAAACAATGTTGAAAGGTTTTGTCAGAAATCAACTTTTTATGATTGAATCAATGTTTATATTAAACTGAATGAAAATATATTATTAATATTAAATAACTACGTCATCACAAGCAGTTAATGAGTATAAAAACAGTATTTTTGTCTAATATATAAGAATTTTTTTTTTACTCAGGTAATTTAATCAATGAATGATAGATTTCTCTTAGAAGAAATTTAAAGGTCCCAGAGAATAAACTACACAGAGAACAATAGCTATTGTATTTATTCAATAGGACAGGTGAACTTGCAAAAAATTAAATACCTGGTCAAGATAGAGATGGCACTGTGGAAAACTTTCATTGGGTTCGCAATAAAAGGTCTTTATAAATTTCATTTGGTAACGAAGCTTGCGTAACGGATAAATTTACAAGCAAGTGTATGTACAAAGAAAACTTTTGGAAACACAATGAAATAAATGAGAATTTGTATCCAAATTTATTACTTAACTTTACCTATTTTAGAAGAGGGTTGTACTAAAATGGCACTGACATACCATTATCAGTGGTATTAATACTTAACATTATCATTTAATCGTAAAACATAAACATTTTCTTTTCCCTCTAGAATTTAAGTTATGTTTACCTAAACGTGTAAAGTTTTATAAGATGGATATAATATTGAAACGATTTGAACAGTAACTTTCAATCAACATATAAAGAGGGATCAAGTGAATGAAATTTCATATTATCAGTTACACTTTTTTTTACTCTTTGAGATTATACCTCGACATTGCATTCCAATACCAAATAATCATCTGAACAATATCCATGACTGTATTGCCATCAATAGTTGACACCTAACGGGCATAGGCTTGTCATGCCAATAACTTTAAACATGGGATGTTTCAAAGTAATCAACTTACAATTATAACATACTCTTAGCTATACTCAGGCATTTATTCGCCAATGTTAAATGGGACCCACTTTCATGAATGAAATATCTTTCTCTTATCGTTGATTCAAGGTCTCGCAAAGCGACAATTTTACCGCTATAATCCCCTAGATGATGCAAGCAAAAGTAATATAAAACGTTCAAGTACAGAACTGGTGGAAACAATTTAACTATATCGATCTTTTCGTTGATTAAAGGAGCCAACTCTGTCGGTAATAAATGATAAGGTTCAATCATAATAACATCACGAATGATGAAATATTTGCACGTCAATGACAATCCTACTGTCTGCTTTAAGTTTTGAAAAATACTTTGTTCAACAATATCATTGTTTAAACTGATCAATATATTATCTGGAGTGCATTTAGACAAACTATAGTTCAGTATTTGAATGCATTCACTGTACCGATCACATTTATAAAACAAAGATGCTAACAATGCCCAAGCTTGGACGGAAGAGGAATACACGCCTGTTTTGAAATATCGTAATATTATCTGGTATTGTCTATAAAAAGCTTTATTTCTTTCCTTAAAGTGAAGACAATCTTGCATTTGTGTCAGTGCGGAGGTTGATAGCAGATGTATAAAAAGATGCTTGTCTTGTTGGTTTACTGAACGAATAAGTACTTGTTCAAATGCTGTAGATGATACTAACATTGGTACCATCATAGAAGGAACATTGAGGCATGACAATGAAGTTACTGTCAGATAAGGGTAAAACGAGTTTATTCGTGCTCTTCTAAAATTTTCAAATGTCGCCGAATGAAAAACGTAATACCAAGGCGTATTGTAAATTTTAACCAGAGTAACAAGTAATGCCTTACGCTGTTCAAATACAAATCTACCTTCAAATAGATTGTTATCAGGTATAAAGTAATGAAGACATATTTCATATTCAACGCAGTAAATTAATCTTGTCAAGCAACTCATGAAACATCGAACGAACATTTCAGGTATCCATTGATGATCTGATTCTTCGCATAGCCAGAACATTATTGTTTTAAGAAAATACGAACAAATGAGATCTTCGTGTTTCTGTTTGATAATATCTTTCAAAAGAATTTTTAACAGCGCATAACATAATAACTGGGTATGTGAAAAAGAATGTATAAGAATCTTTTCGGCGACAGAAAACGAGATACGCCATTCAAGATCTTCTGTAACTGAACCTTTGCATCCAATAGGAACAAATAAAATGCCATGTTGCACAACAGATTGTATCATTTCATATTCAGGCCATGTACATCTAGATCTGTAAATCCACTTTTTGGCAGTGTTTACCCATTTCTTGCACTGGAAACTGCTTACTGCATCGAATGTACCATCTTTTGAAGACGAGCATGGACCATGAATAATCAGGTCAAAACCTTCAAGTAAGTGAAATTCCCGAAAAAGATTACTTGAGATATATGATTGCATTTGAAAAGTTTCACAACACTCCGTATATATCGATGAGTATCTTTCTGATATGTCATAAACCTTTAGCTTTGTATATCCAGGCTTGGTTTGATTGATATCCATTAAAAGTGTAAGTTCGTGTGAGGGTGAGGAGGAAGACATATCGTGTATACTCTCGTATGCACCAATATGTTTATCGACAAGCATGACATCGTGATCGCTGCCTTTTAGATTTAGTCCTTCCGCTTTACTTCCGCTATTTATTAGCGCATGATCTTTATTCGACAAAGCAGAATCCACTGCAAGAATTGTCGATCTTCTCGTCTTCACAACCTCCTTTGATCCGACTATATCACATAAATATTGATAAAACTGAAGCGAATATTCTTTGTCCTCAAGGTTCATATTGCATAAATTCCAAACTGAAGTCAACAGCTCTTACATAATATAATTTTCTAAGTAAGTAATGATGTAATTCTAGTGTATATTTATATATATATATATACGCTATATATATAAGTACGTCTAAACAAGTGACAACTCTACGATAGATCCATCCATTGGATCAACAGTGAAGGTTATACACGGCTGAAAACACATATTATATTCATAATTACTCTAAATATCAGCACAACAATGTTAAATCGCCGGGATTCGAACTCATGCTATTGGGATATCGAGACAACACCGCCTGCACTGTGCCCATCGCTCAAGACCACTTGGCCACCTAGACTGAAGATCATAACAGAATTAAAGCATAAAGTACTGGAAGCGGTTGAATCACTAATAGGATGAATAATGTATATGGATTGGACGTTTATGTGTTGCACTATTCTGCTCCTATAATATAGAAACAACATTATATTCACATGATTGAATTTGAAGATAAATTACGTCTTTACAATGTTTATTTGAATTGAGATTGAGTAGGAAAATTGTTCTTTATTGTGATATCTTGAGTCAGTTACGTGCAAAAAGTTACAAAAATGTGTTGTTTAAATAAGCAAATGTTGTAAATTTTTACAAAGGGTTCCACTTTAGAGGTGTCGTCTTTCTGTGTACCCTAAGTTATGTTTCAATTAAACATCGTAGTACTATCTTTGATTTTTGTTGTGTTTTGGTCAATTAAAACATAACTAGATATGTCTTGCTATAGTTATGGTCCAACATCCTATTGATATAATATACTTATAGTTTTGCATTACACATAATAATTCTTTAAGACTGTTCATGACGTTGACGTCTTAACATCAAATCGGTTGGATTTGCAATAAATGATACTTTAGTGTCTGGGAAAACATGATTTATATATTTGTTGTTCATGGCTTTGTAAAAGCTTTCCGTAACTGCGTAAGATAAATTCGTTACACATTGTGCAAATAACCTAATACGATATATCTTAGATCAGTGAATTTCATATTGGGATTCGAGATTCGCTCTCACCCCATATGAAATTTACTGACCCCATATACATCGTATTTTGTCACTAAAACACTATGTAACTAATAATATGTGCTTGTCGGGAGTGTTATTTCACCGGTTGCAGTTATTTTTTGTCTGTCGTTACGTGTGTTGGGAAGCATAGATTAAGAATTGATGTTTTTAAAAATATTTTTGTTTCCGATCTATTGACACTTTTGTTGGTTTATTTATTTTTCTGTTACTTCACATTACAACATTATCTTTTTGTTCGTTTTTTTATGACAAAGTAAAAGCAACCGATAAAACTTCGCCGAAGCATTGAATATAAAGGCAGTTTTTTATAGTCAAAACATACATAAGTTTGAAAACAGATAAAAATACAAAAAATGGGAGTGAATAAATGATTTCAACAAAAAATACTAAGTGAGTGCGACAAAATGCTTTCAACATCCTGCTGCTATCATTATCTTTCACAAAACACCAAAGTTACATTAATTAGTTAGTGTCAAGCCAGAAACATGACAAAACTTCAGCGATATCAGATATACAGTTTGAGAGACAACGGAATTGAAACATCAATCGAGACATTGTAAAGATCAATCAGCACATATGTTAATTTATAATTTCATTCCTTCATCCTTATAACATTGGTTATTATTTGTGAGTTATGTGTATATTTCCGCAAGTGGAGTAACTTGAACGAGAAAAAGCTCAGACATATCTTCAAATCAATAGAGAGCAGATATCTCATAATAAAGGCTTTCGTATAATTAAACATATTTAATTAAAGTTCTAGTAGTGTTTATTACACTGTGTACCTCACAAATAAACAGGTTTCAGTTTATGCAAGCTGCTATTGGGGTTGTTTTGTTATGATTCGTTTATATGTGTGCATGTAAAAAGTAATATGAATTAAGATTTTGCATCTTTTAATACCTTTGATAACTGTTAACGTCGTATGAATAACTCAAGTAAAAGAATACACTAAATAACAAGATATCATATTCTAATTGATTATTGCAGGATAAATGTTCATTTCAATGGAGACAGGAATAATCATGATACAAATTTTACCTGATGCGTTTTCCTTCATAAATCCTTTATATGGCTAAATGATAAAACTTTTGATTTGTCGATTGGTTTTTCCTGCTATTACCGGTTTAAGTTTAATTTATGTGTATATACTATATGAACTCGGATATTTAAAGAATATCGTTATTGATGTGTAAACCCGATCATTATGGCAGATTGCAGTAAGATTTAAATAACAGTGTATAAAGACCGTTGAAATAAAGTAATTAATGTCTTAAGATCAATAAATGATTTAAAAACTCTGATAAATAAACATTAGAAAGCCTGGGTGTGTAAATATCCCGAAACTGGTGTTGCTTATAAATATTAAAAAAGAAAATTGTATCTATCTTTTTTTTTACCGATATGCGTGTCTTAAGTTTTCTTATACTCGCAAAGAGAAACCCCATTCAAGAGAAATACTGTAACATAGTATACCAGTCTTCAAAGTTGTGTGAAGGCGGTTTTAGGCGACGGAATCTGAAAATTGTGTGGTTTTCCATTTGTTTTCCATTGATAGTTTTTTTAAATGATATTCGTCGGACAAAGCGACATAACTCATATCGCTATTGGTAGAAACTGTATGAGGTTTACTACTTTGGATGTTGTTCTCTTTGTAACGAGCTTCCAATACAATAATAAATGAAACAAAAAAAAATCAATAATATAAATTAAGAATCTTCCAAATCTGTGCAAAGAATGATACATTTTTAATAATTGTTATGCATTTTTGACGCAGAATGCTATTTATAACCACTATTTTGCACTTCATATTTAAACCTTTTAAAATTTATTTGGAATGTCTAACATATAACCAAAAAGGATCTTAAACAAATAGCAAAATTCATCTTAGATCAAATTGCCGAATGAGTTTGAACCTTTTTTTTTAAATGATTTATTAATTTATTAATGAGACATTTGAAATGAATATGTTTTGAATTACGTCAGTACCGAAGCACTGACTACTGATACCCTAGGGCTTACAGTTCATCAGCAGCGATATCGAATCAGTGCTAGAACAAAATGACACGAAATAAACACATAACTAACACTGTAGGTCAAACGGAATACAATTTATTGTAATTTGTAGTTTTCTTTTTTTCTTTGCTCAACCTGTTACAATATCATACATTTTACACTGTGTAGGAATTTCTGTAAACCTGACATATGTATTAAAATATAAAAAGTAAACATCATGACAATATTTATCATGATGCATTTGACCAATCAAAAAGACACTTCGAAAAATCGTAAAATTTAATCATACATTAAAAAGAAATTGTTAAATGTACAAAACCATTTTTTTCAAACTCTACATAAATGTTGATGAGAAAGGCTGAATCTAATGTGTCTTTATTTTTTATTTTTTGGCGGCAAAAAGGTGGTAATTACATTTTTTATTTTGTTCTCTGAAACCAGTTGGCAAATCTGAAACAACTTACTTCATGTCTGTCCTTCAAACATATGGATGGTCAATCATTGGAATAGCTCATTTTGTTCACTGCTGATAGAAGCAAATCTTAAACCTCGTTGCTTGATTTTCAAATTTTCCTGGTATGAAATACACACTAAATAATTTTAAAGTTAAAAAGATAAATGTGTCCTCTTCGTGATGAATGACATGAATGTTTGCCAGTTAGGGGTTTAGATATCCAGTTTGAACCTCAATAAAGTAACAAGTAAGATGTTTTCCTCTCTGAAAGTCCATATAAAAAATACATACAAACAACAAGCCAGAAAAGGTGTTTTGAAGGTTTGCACAAAGCACTCCAACATTCTTTTGATTAAGAAAAAAAAATCCAATGCATTGAATGATTCAATTTCAAATATTTTATGATAAGGAAACAACACAGTGGAGACCGATTAGATTTGTAAAAGGAACTTTGCTTGTTTCTAAAACCTTGATATTTATTTTAAGTGTGTTGTATTGTTATCTGATGATTTATCTGAATAAACGTTGTTTAAACTAAAAATCACGCACATATCTTATAAAAAGGAATGGATACCAAGGAGAAAACCAAAAAATGTAGGTCGTATCAAAGCAGAATACACAATGACCAAAAGTAGTAACGGCGAAAAGACAAATAACAATAACATGACACTACACAGAATACTGAATATTTAAAAACACGAAGCCTACTTTACTAGTGAAACCTGTCATGTTTTGCATTCAAGTTGCAAGTTAAAATACGATATAAGTCATATTATATGATCGTAGATCGAGACTGTGATGGCTAGTGGAACACATCTGTGGGCACCCGTGACATAGATAACCCTGAACGATCACCAAAATTATGATGATTTCTTGACAACGTTTGAATGGATGACTCCAACTTTAACAATGAGAACCCTTGAATTAATAGTTTCCTTGTAAGCAGTAACCCTCTATCAAGTAGATTATGACAGGAAACGCATGCCCTGGAATATAGTTTCACCTGGGAAAATTTTGACCCGCCATGACATATCCAGGCTTATAACGTCAATAAGATAACGTCATTGTGAGAAAAGCGTTGTTAACTAATAAAAAGACTTCAAATTATGTATAGGGAAATACAAATTATTGTAAATAAAATACTGTAATATGCAATTGTACAAAAAAAATCAGACATAGCCTAGATTAATTTTGTTCAGCATACTATAATGCCTTAAGAAGTTCATATCAAATATTTGTTATAGTGTGGTTTTTCAAGAGCGCATTTTTTATTAGCAAAAGGAAGACACTGAGATTAAGTCGACTAGTAAGCCAAAAGACAATGAAGTAGCACTTATCATATAAGGAATCTATATCAATGACGTTAATTAAAATAAATGATGTTAACTATGTTACTACAGCTTGTTAATGAATAATATTTTCAGCAAAGATTTCGGAATCAGTTTTATAGATTATTATTGGTTGACATCGATGACTGAATACATTATGTTTGAAAATTTACCTTAATTGTTCATGATTCAAAATAATTTTAGAAACATTTTTTTAAAAATTTAGATTGAATAGTGTGAATGTGACAGATCATTTTATGTGAATATGTTGTATGAGTGATGAGTGTACATATTGTGATTTGTTTGTATTGATAATTTTGCTGTTATGTTATTCATAAAAGGAAATAAATGAGGTTCATAATGAAGCATGCGTATCAAGGAACATTCATTGGTATCAGAATACCTGTCTACAGCAGATCTACACTAGGAACAAAAAAACAGACAAAACTATTGCAGAAAAGAAAAAGTACGAAACAAATATTTACAGCTGTCAAGCATAGAGCATTTGGGTCTTTCCAAACTTAGTTTCGAACTTACCTGATGGAAGTAATGGCAGAGGCAAATCTTTGTTGGAACAGACAATCTTATCGTTTGTTTTTACTATCACTTTGTCGACACATTTATGGTTGACTATTATTCCCTGAAAGTACATGTAGCTGAGTAGTATCTAGAGTTTGGAATCGGCAGGTTTAAAATGATACATATTTATTTAGTTTCCAGGACTTTGTGATGTTATCTATGCACACAATTCATATTTCTTTACTTTTCAAAAGTTTGATCACAAGCGAAGAATAAACAAGATAAACGATATAAAAGGGCAATAGATACCCATCGATTTAATAAAGACAAATAACACAATAAATAAAAATAAAAACAACAAAACGAAACTATCGGTCCACTTATCAGTGGGAAAAATGTAGCAAGAAACATCTAACTAAAAAACGAGGGGTAGGTCAAGGGGTGTAGGAGAGGTCGCAGCACTTTCTCTACTAGTGGTATCTGTCCTGTTACTCCTTATAAGAAGACATTCGTTGTAAGTCGGTACGGTTTTAAACAGAACGGGATTTGGCTCATACGAGTGCAAAATATCCGTGTTGATGTGTCACAGATTTTCTAAACATTAAACAAACTCATTAACAAACTGTGAATCTTTATAAGTCGCTACGGTTTGAAACAGGACAGGATTTGGCTCCAACGAGTGAAAAATATCCGTGTTCATGTGCCACAGATTTTTCTAAACATTAAACAAACTCATGAACAAACTGTGAAGTTTACGAAGGGGTGACTTCAACTTTATAGGTTTGAACCTTAGTTTCAATATCTTAATTGTAAGAAACTATCCTTTATCGAAGAAACCATAATCATGATAATAGGAAACGTAAGACATTGAATATCGTATTAACTGGGAGGTATATACTCCATGTAAACATTATAAAAGAGAAAATATTAGATTATTGTCATTGAGAAAATTAAAATCGCCTCTTTTGTCGTTACGTTTGACTCTCATTGCCAATTTCTCTCTGTGGGTCTTTGTTTCATGTTCAATTCCGTAGATGCGATCAAATTATCACCAATGTTTTACTTATTCAGGGATTGAACATCAGTTACATATCAGAACGTGATCAAGAGACTACACTGGTGCTTGCACGGGAAACACTGGTTTAGTTTTAATTGTGAATAAATAAAATGTTTTTCTCAAAAGGAAGTATGATAACATGGGGTTCGTCAATCCTTTCAAATTAATGTTAGTTGTACTGTGAATTAAATAAGTTGATATAATTTTGAAATTTTAGAAAATAAATGTCATATAAGATTAACTATAACGTAATACGGAAGACAGAAAAAAATCGACACAATTAAGTAAAACTGACCATTTTAAACATTTTTTTCTACAAATTTAGACACATTTCAGGCCTTTTCAAAAGATAGTTTACCCATATTTACATCTCCGTATAAGACATCAAATAGCAAAATATATTTCAGTAAAAGCATTGGTTCATATTAAAACATTAATTACGAGATCTTAAAATAAGCTATTTCTGATTTTATATTTCAAGGGGTAAATTAAATTATCATTGTCCTCAACTTTCTGAATCAATAATTTGATAACCTTTCTTCAAACTTCAAGCTTAAAATCAGCGTTATGTTGTGAGAAGAAATTCGAGATACATTCAAACACTTTAGAACTCTCAAAAACTCAGAAAAAGTCAGAATCAATTCGAAAAAAAATAGCTTACTATCAATTAAACATTGACAAAGAAAGAAACAGAAGACAAAGACAGAAAACGACGGGTTTCATCTTTCAACATAAGAAAACTGATTACTTTTAGAATCGTCAAATCATCTAGCACCTAGAACATGTATTGAGAGTAACAATATTTATGATTTTTCAGTTTATCTTAGGCTAAAAAACATAGTTTTAAGTACACAATTAATTTCCAAACGACGTAGGTAACAATTCTTTATTCACAAATACACAACGAATGCGAATAATCACCGATTTTGACTCGCAAGAAAAAACCACGACAGGTGTATTAAAAAAAGACTAAAGTTACCATACGGACATTCAAACTAGAAGACTGAAACTGACAACCCCATCGCCAAAAAAAATTATGGCACCATGCTGTACTAGTATATATATTGCAGAATGAATACATACCTTATTTGATCGGACCACCGGTCCTTTTATTCTTATTAGAAAGAGGATATATTTCCTTCATAGGCTAGCAAAGGCTATCAAGCAATTGTTTTACAAAGCAATTCTATCATATGACTGAATGGGGAAAGGTTACGCATTGATATTGGGTAACAGACATCAAACGAGGGAAATATGTATCAACAAAAATACCGAACTACCAGGTCAATTACAAAAGGAGGAATTATATAAAACGATCTACTTTCTAAATTCATTATTCACATGTTGCAGAACTAATACGTTGTTTCCCTAAGCAGCTATAACATACCTCAAATAAGACTGAAAGAGGCAACGTTTGCATAATCGTACGTTAAACAAACCGTTAGATAGCGTTTACATGCGAAAAATACCAATCGGCAGAAAATCAATCTTTTTTCAATACCTTTATTCCACTCGAACATGCTATATTTGTTTGATTTAAACGCCAAATATCATTTGTGTTAGTTGAGTTAAAATCCATTTTCAATTCGCTTCAAGAAGATGATAGTTAATAAAACCTAAACATTTGAAAGCCAATGATATAAAAATACCGAAATACGTAAGGAGCTGTATAATCAAAACATGATTTAAAAGGAATAACCAAATTCATTTGAGGTCAACCTTGCTTGAGAGAGTTAGCCTTAGTTTAGAATGTAAAACTCTGCCTGCACTAGACCTCGGCTGTAACGTTCTCATTCAAAACGGAGGTTGCTACGTTTTCAAACAACCGTTACAGCCAAACGGACTGTATACGTACCTCAGAACAGACATCACTGCCAAACCTGGCATGTACCTTTTAAAAAGTAATAGATACTATTTCAAAAATAGTAATAGTAGTAGTAGTAGATCAAATATTGATTATTGTGGGTATAATTTAAAAACAATGTCTACCTGAATCTGTTCATATCTGCATTGCATGATAAGTTACACACTGTTATGATTTTTTTTTCATAAAATAATTTGTGACCTATACTCTCTCTGGGTGGGAAAACAAAGTGATAATAACAAAAACAGCTATTCATAACAGGAAAGCTATGCTAATGAAAATAACACTTTTATATTTTTTTAGGAGATATTTTACCAAAATAGATCAAACAGAATAGCCAAAACCATGAAAGGTAGAATTCGTCTGCGGCATTTGGAACCGTTTTTTTTTACGATAATTTCGAAATTGACAGAAAATGTTAAAAAAATATTTTTTAAATCATGGCAAAGAGTTCAACTGTATTGAAATGAATTTTGTCTTGCCTTTTTATGGACCTCCATAACAATACATCGCCATACGCATTATTCAACAATTATTTTTAATATGAAACCTTAAACAGGTTTTACTAGGTGACTGTATGTAAAATGTTTTGTTGCCAGTTAAAGTCATTTCCTTAATATTCCCGAAACAGTATAAATTGCGTACTGGTTAAATATAGAGGTGGGAAAAAATCCGACTAAACACAACGAAAAGACAAACGAATTTTAGCCAAACACTAGCTAGAAAACCAAAAACTGCTCACAACGAACCCCACTACAGACCGGGGGTATCTCAGGTGCTCCGATAAGGCAATTAATCCTGCTACGTATGTGACACCTGCCGTGGTGCCCCTGTAAGTATATATTGAGTGATAAGTCTCATTCAGTAATGTGGTAAAGAGGACTGGATTATGTTCACAATTATTTGAACATTTCCGTGTTTATCTATGACACATATATTCCATAACGGTAATTCAACTTGTGATGGCGTTCCTAAGATTTACGATTTGATGACTTCAACTCCACCACTCGGAAGCCATGGTTAAAAAGCTTCTTTGAATGCAGCATTTTTGTACTAAGAAAACTCAAAGGGCGACTGGCAGTAAAACCTTTGCCAAAGTGCGGCATCCGATCGGCTGTGCAGGATGTAATAATTTGCAGCCACGACCGGTTAATTCTGGGACGTTAGATCCGTTGCTCTTGTAGAGAGATTGCCAAACTCTCTGTTTGTTATGAACCCTTGCCACAAATCTCTGAAGGGTTCGTAGATGGACTGTTGCAAGGTTGAATTTTTTTTCTGTTCCTATCTCATATACCATTTTTTTCAGTGGTATTGCAAAATTTCCAGCTTATCATACCGGTCGATTCCTTATTGCAGGATTTACTTTTTGTACGTATTGATAATTTGTTCTCGTCCTGAACATGCTTGTAATATTATCCACAAGACGTTTAGCAAACAATTATCAATCAATCTATCAAGGAAATTATGACAGGAAAGGCAAGCTCTGGAATATCGTATCATCTAGGAGAACAGTTCACAATTGGGAAGCTGCAAATCATCGCTTTTGTCGAAAAGTTTTGTTCTCAATTTGCCCTCATTTTCAATTTTCTAGATTCATTGATTGTTGGTTGCTTAACGTCCAGTGTCAATTTTCTAGATGTCAATGAAGGTATGACGAGGGCATATATGTATCTGTGATATCCTTTATTTCACGATGCATGCGACATGGTCATTAAACTCTGAATTATTCAGTGGTGGAATATTTCATCTATATCACGAATATAGTAAAAAGATTGCAGTTAAAGAATAATGCTTATTTTTTTTTTTAAATCTTCATAAGAAGCTCTGCAAGAAATCTGCCTCATATGACTAAAGGAACAATTCGACAAGATAACGAGCACAATTCGCCCCCATAGAAATGACCATTATTTGTTGAAAAATACTTCCTTCAAATGTAACAAGATCTGTTGTTAATAAAAAAAAAAGGAATCACGCATTTTGTAAATGTCTACGCATTTAAATAGAAAATTGTGTCAAACCTTTTTTCGGATGTGTGTTTGTGTTTGGTTTACATTTTGAGAGTTTTCTAATGCAGTTCTAAAAAAAACGCCATTCAGGATACATTATATTCTAACAATCTCAGAATGATGCGACATATCTTTAAAGATTGTTTGATTTTCTATTTTTTATCAGTTTTGGTTGTTTAGAGTGTTTTCGTCGGACAAATGCGCATTACTCAGATCAGTATTGGTAATAAGTGTATGTGTTTTCCTTCTGTGTTTGATGGTTTTCCTTGTAAAAGGTAACCAACAAAACGAAACGAAACAAAAACGAAAACTGAATGTCTTTATGATATGCAGAATGCTTTTTATTAACACTGTTTCCTATTCATTTTTAAACCTTTTAAATTTATGTATTTCTTAAAGAAAGAAAGGGATCGTAAAATTGAAAAAAAAAAAAAAATTCAAAATAATAAATTTCAAATTAGGACATAATTTTCAACAAGAATTGTCAGAAAAATGTTTTATGATATCGTTTTTTATATGCTAAAGTTTTGATCGTAAGATGTTTACATGAAATTTAAATTTTAACAGTAAAATATACAAAACCCCAAAAGACATTTAATCTTTGTGGATAATTGGAATTCATTGTTTGGTAATGTTACTTTACAAGGTAAGTTATTATGACCGAGTTGAGGGAATAAATTACAGAGTTAAATAGTCGGAATGTCGATTATATTTATTTGTAAATAAAAATTTTCACTGAAAATACTTAAATTATATAATAAAAAAAAACTCCAAATCAAGTATTAAACACCGAGTATTACCTGTTTTAAACGTGGATTTTAGTACAATTTCACTGACATACCACATAAGCATTTGTAGAAAAAAATCAAAATATATATCGTCTTGACTGCACATGCAGTATTTGCTTTTAGACGAAAAGAAGGCAAGATTCAACCAATAAATCAAAATATATAGGCAATTAGTAAATGGAATTTCTTTTATTAACATATTTTGTTTTTGATGAGAGATTCTAATATCTAATTTCCCCCACCTTAGCAGAACTATACAAATTCACCTGCATATGGAATTTACATATTCTAGCTCACTCGGGATTCAAGAGCTTGCAGCAAGTCAAACTTTATAAAACGTCACCAGTGTCTGAGCAGAAAGTTGATGAACCAGGGAACCATTGCTGATAAATATTCCGTATCAAATTCACAAATAATAGATGATGGTCTTGAAGTACAGATTTCACCATTTTCTACATAAGGAAACGTTTGTACCAAGTCAGGAATATGAGAGTTGTTTCCATTCGTTTGGTGTGTTTGAGCTTTTAATTTTGCAATTTAATAAAGGACTTTCCGTTTTGAATTTTCTTGAAGTTCGGTATTTTTGTTATTTTATTTTTTTTTATATTGCATTCCACTTCAAAAGTTCCAAAGAGGACAACGCCTCTCATAGCATATTTGCCTCATGTAAACGAAATCGTAGATCGTCATAACTGTTTTATTTTCACCAATAATCATTCGAGCTAAATCCCGATCTTTGTTCCCTTCAGGAATTAGCACGTATAACGTGCATATGCTTTGCATGTCAATAAATTTTAACATTGAATTTTTTAAGGTATTTAACTTACAATTACTTCATACTTTTAGCAATACTAAGACATTGATTCGCCAATGTTAACTGGTCCACATTATCAAGGATGAAATATCGTTTACTAATAGTAAATTCAAGATAACGTAAAGCGATAATTTTACCACTTATATTTCCAAGATGATGCAAACAAAAGTAATATAAAACGTTCAAATAAACAACAGTGGGGAAATTTGTAACTATATCATCAGATGTTATATACAAAGGAGCCAATTCTGTCGGTAATAAATGAAAAGGTCTAATCATTCTTACATAAGAAATAATGAAATATTTCCATGTTAATGGTAATCCTAATGTCTGCTTTAATTTTTGAAAAATGCTTTGTTCTCCAATATCATTGTTTAAACTGATCAATATTTTATCTGGTGTACATTTAGACAGGCTCTAACTTAGAATGTCAATGCATTCCCTGTATCGGCCTCATTTATAAAACAAGGATGCTAACAGTGCCCAAGCATTGACGGAAGAAGAATACAAGCCTGTTTTGAAATATTGTAACATTATTTGGTATTGTCTATAAAAAGATTTATTTCTTTCCTTCAAGTTATAACAATCCTGCATCTGTCTCATCGCAGCAATTGATAACATATGTGTTAATAGATGCTTGTCTTGTTGATTCACTGTACGAATAAGTACTTGTTTAAATGAAAACGATGATAAATATATCGGTAATAGCATAGAAGGAAACACCAGTCATGACAATGAAGATGCTTCCATATTAGACGAAAATGAGTTTATTTGTGCTTTTCTGTAGTTTTCAAAAGTCACTGAATAAAAAACATACCTCCAAGGTGAATGATAAATATCATACAGCGTATCAAGTAACGCCTTATGCTGTTCAAATGAAAATCTACCTTCAAATAGATTGTTCTCTGGAATAAAGTAATGAAGACATGTTTCAAATTCAACACAGTAAATTAATCGCCTTAAGCAACTCATGAAACATCGAACAAAATGTTCAGCCTTCCATTTATTACAAGCTGATTCTTCGCAAAGCCAAAACATGATTGTTTTAAGAAAATAAGAGCATATCAGATCATCAAGTTCTTGTTTGATAACATCTTTTAAAAGAATTTTCATTAACGCATAACATAATAACTGGGTATGCGAAAAAGAAAATATCAACTGTCTTTCTGCGACAGAAAACGATATCCGCCATTCGAGATCTTCGTTGACTGAACCCTTGCATCCAATAGTAACAAATAAAACACCGTATTGTACAACAGATTGAGTCAATTCGTAATCTGGCCACGTGCATTTAGATCTGTAAATCCACTGATGAGCAGGTTTTATCCATTCCTTAAACCGGAAACAACGTGCACCATCATACACATCAGCATTTGAAGATATGCATGGACCATGGATAATCATTAGATCATTACCAAATATAATCATGGATTCAAGAAAAAGTTTACTTGATACATATGGTTCCATTTCAAAAATTTCACAACAGCTGATAATGAAAGATAGGGTCCTATATGATGCTTTATGAATTTTTAGCTTGGTAAATCCAGCTTTTGTGTCATTGGTATCCATTAAAAGCGTTAGTCCATGTGCAGAGCGAGCTATATCATGTATCCCCTCGTACACACCAACATGTTTATCGACAAACATTTGATCGTAATCGCTGCCTTCTAGATCTAGTCCTTCCGCTTTGCTTCCGCTACTTATATACGTAGTCTCTTGATTCTCCAAAACATAATCCTGAGCGAGCAATATTCTTCTTCTCATGTCAACAACCTCACCTGAACTAACAACATCGCATAAATAGTGGTAAATCTGAAGCGAAAGTTCCCCATTCGTAAGATCCATATTACACAAACTGTATTCAACAGCTATTGATTATGGAAAGACAAACTGTTTCTAATCAATAAATGTTGTAATGCTATATATAATAACAGACGATTAAAATGAAATCATTTGTTTTTGATATTTGGAAGATTAGTGACATTAACCACAATTATTTTAATTGATTATTACTTAAAACACTTTTAATTAATTATCATGAACTATTTGCAATTTCATGAGTTCAGGTTAGTTATATCCTCATATTTCACATAAATACATTTCTAAAGTTCATTGTTGTTGTCGTCATGTTTTAGCCAAAGCATGACAAATTTACCTGATAGTAATGAAGGAAATCGATCTATGTTGTTTTGTCTAATCATTCTAATGTACAAAAGAAATAAATTGCGTAGTCAAAATGAGCGAGTCAATTTAAAAAAGAATTTCATTTTACATGTTAAACAAGTACATGTACTAATTTTTCCAAAGAAGATATCTGTCTTCGTGAATTGTTCAGATCACTGTAAGAGATCTAGTCTGAGTGCAGCATATAATAACAGTACTCAATTACATGGTTTCTAGGTCAGCAGCCTGCATGATGTCCTTCAGTTTCTACGGTATTCATGAACACGATTTTATATGGTATTGACTGACATGTTCTTGATTTTTGTCATTGATACTGATAAACAGTTAGTTTTTTTTAATTTTCTACCATGTACATTTGGTATATGATCTAAATTATAATAAGTACTCAATTTCAAGGGACTAGTTTAACTCTGTTAGGTGTAAATGTTCCTGTCATAAGTCCAGAACCTCTGAAAGGCAAGCTAATATTTAGACACAGACATTAAAATAGGATGTTTTTGGGAAACATTTCTAAAAGCGGAATTTCAAAATTACATTACGCTAATAGCTGTCAGTTTGGTTCATTTTTTTTTTCAAAATAATCTCAAAAACATCGCTTTTGTATTCTTGGCTTTCAAGTCAATAATTCAACATCATAATAATCCATATGCATTCAATCTTCATTTTGACCGTTAGTAGGATATGCATGTCCTTAACATGTTCAATTATAGAAAAAAAAATTCGGCCGAAACAAATCATTCTTATACAAGTAAAATGATGACTTGGTACATGCATTTCCTTATGTAGAAAATTGTGGATTAAAACTGGTTTTATAGCTAGCTAAACCTCTCACTTATATGACAGTCGCATAGAATCCCATTATATTGACAACAATGCGTGAGCAAAGCAAACAGACATAATAGGTAAAAATGTCAAAAATTGAGGTACAGCAGTCAAGATTAAGTGATTGTTTTTTTTTTTAATTCACATCTTGTTGTCCTTTGTACTTTAAGTAATCTGTGTTATGGACCGGACGATCTCTTTTAGTTTATTTTAAAGTTATTTACTATAAGTTTGCACTATATATTGGTTGACCTACTGTATTGACATTTGTTTATGATAACTATTGACAAAATATTGTCTTATATTTTCCTATTGTGTGTTGTAAGGTTACTGTCTCATTGCCCTGTTCTCCACCTGTCCTGTTATTGATCGCGTTTTGAACAATTTTATCAGAATTGATACACGTTTCCTCTATATTCTCCAAACATAATCCAAAGCCATAAACACTTATCTTCTTGCCTTTACAACTTCCTCTGATCCAACAATACCACATACATAATGATAAAACTGAAGTGCAAGTTCTCCATCCTCTATATCAATATTGCACAAATTCCTGTCCTCCTTCTACCTCGATAAGAAAAATTCATAGGCCGATGCGGCTCTCCGAAGCAGGGGCAAAATTATTTGTCCGCCTTCTACCTCGCTAAGAAAATTTCCTGATTTCAACAGCTCATGCTAAGATATAAGAAGAAAACATTCCTAATTGAATAATGATGCCATGCTATTATATATATTTATTAAAAGACAATTCAAGAATGAAGTATTAGACGAGGTTTATTGGTTTTGCAAGTTTGAATTTAACTGAAATTGAATTTGATTTTTTGCCATCACTAGGCGACCATCGACTGTCGTTGTGGTAGATTGTTTAATATTGATATTTGTTTTTCTTTTAGAATAATTAATATTAAATAGTAGTTTTATTATATGTATTTTCAGAGTTCAACATTTCTTCTATTCTCTTATGCAAATTTATTTTCTTGGTATCGCATATCTTTTTAGTACTGTAGTTCTACTTTATCTTTCTGGTTCATCAGTCAGTCAGTCATGTGTAAAGTTATCTTCTATTGGTCATATTCACTGAGTTCAAAGTTTTACCACGCGTTTTGAATACCCTTGTGAGAGACAAGCTATATTTCTTATACACACAGCATAGGAATATACATATACAAAGATAATGTTATGTTATTTTCCTTCTCATTTATGTAACAAATCTTTAAAATCTTTGACACAAGCATGGACAAATCAATTCATACCAAAAAGCTTGAGTAATTTGATAGCCAAGCTTTAATTTAAGCATCATTGTATAAGGAATATAATTGCTTGAGATATAAATGAGTATCCTATTATTTTCTATGTCATTTAACACATATGTGACATTTTTAAAATTCGTTGAGTTTGTCATCTTTTGATTTTATATCAAAAGGAACACTTTTACGTGTGTTGGCAGTAGATAAGATTTAGAATTAATGTTGATAATAGATTGTGTTTACTATCTATTGCCACTTGTCTGTTTTTAGTTGTTGTATCAGGTCAAACAAATATTCCTTTCATTTTGTTCTTAATTTTCTTATCATCGATAGCAAAATATCCTCAACCCATGAAAGAGCGGATGCCTCGTAATAAAGAATTGTGTAAAATAAAAATTACTTGTACATAAGCATGATTCTCGTAGTATATATTATTGAATTGTTTAATTCACAAGTAATCAGTTACTCAAACTGCTATCATTTCATCATAACTTGTTGACATTTTGATTTGTACAAAATAATATCATGGCTTTGGCTTGTGCATCATTGAAGTCGTATGATTACTTATGTAAAAGACTTCACCAAAGAACAAATTATTGTACACTAATGCATTACTGAAGGATGAATGTAAATATCAATGGAAACAGAAATAATCATAGTTATTTTACCTGATTGAGCTTTCATTCATGAATCCTTGATATGGTCGAATGATAAAATATATATTTTGACAATGTGTTTTTCCTTCTACTTTCGGTTTTCGTTTAATCTCTTTCTATATACTGTACATATATTTAAATTTGACGTAATAAATATTCTATCCCTTTCTTATGACAGGGAACTATATTTAAAACTACACTGTATATTGGTCGTTGAGATAAAAAATAAACAATGTCTTTATCTTAACTGGTTGAGAGACCCAGTGTATATAATTGATTATCATTCATAGTTGACTTTTTTCTTCGTTGGAAAATTTTACAGGAGTCTCTGTGAATCTAACTTATTTATAGCAAAATAAAAGGTCAAATAAATTTCAATATTGTCACGGGTTAGGTCATTTATTTCGCTTCTCATATTACCAATAAAGATAAATACCTTATCAAACTTGGTTGTGGGATAGGAAAACATATGTCATATGACAGAGGAATTATGTAAAACATGTATACGATAGGTAATTCATTAAAATTATAATGATATTTTCTTTTATGACAGGATTTCGTTAAACAATAAAGTAAATTGTTCTTTATAACTGTCTTTTTCTTTACTTTAACTCTAAAAATCTTCCCAAACGGGTCAACTCTGCATTATACTGTCGAGTCGACTACTGACACCTTCAGTTACAACCAAATATGTAAGTCTTAAAAAAAATTATATGAAGATTGAACCCGTTTAAATATGTAAATGTTCCCATTTCGGAGTTATTCACCCACAAAAAATGATTTTAATATCAAAATTATAATTTATTATCTAAAGTAGCTCATGTTTTCATAATTGAAATGTGAGAATAACCTCAGTATTTTGCAATTCTAAATCTTAAGAAAGCTATATATATATATATATATATATATACAAGTCTAAATTGAAAACAACGTTCAAAACTATGATTGCGTTGGATAAAAACCGCAATTTCTATACGTGTGCTTGTAAAACAAATTTCTTGGTAGAGGGGTCAAAATACAGCACAAACAACATTTTCCAAAAGACCTTAAAGTGAAAAGTATATTTTAACAAAACGCATTTGACTAACAGGTCGAACAACTGTATATATATATATATACTCGTTTTAAGTCTTATGTCCAACTTTTACATTGATAAAAATAATTTTTTTCTGTACCTCTCATTTAATATTTTTTGTAAGTTCTAATGATATTATTCGTTCTTTGGTCGTTATCAACATCACAGAATCCCTAAAAATCTCCAGCTCTTGCTTTTATACAGCAGCAATGTAGCTATAGAAATTGTTAAATTGTAGCTATCCGCATAGTATCCTATTAGCTACTGCTACATGTAAGAGTGGCATGAAATTCGCCATCTCTTCGGAAACATTAAGAATCTCTTATTTTTCACCCCAAAGACTCGTTACTTAAATTAAACGACAAAAAGTGTCTAACTTCCGTTAAATAAATGTTGAAAAGTTTTATTGAAAAACTACAACCAAAGACAAACCAGGATATTGTTTCCCCGTTTCGATCCTCAAAAAGTCTTCTACTATTTCAACCAAATACGCACATGCGCAAAGTTAACTTTCGAATATACATCGTCAATGGAATTTCGTACATCAGATGCTCGTAAACATTGAACGATAGGACAATAATTTGAAATATAATTGAACCATGACCTGCTAAATGGGTATGAACGAAACAGGTCCAATGGACTAATAACCTCTGAGACAACTGTCATGTTCATAAAAGAAAGAAATCCATGCCAACCATGAAACGTTCCTCTTTTCGTATGCAAATTACGTTGACTCATTCACATGTGCTTATATGGACCAAGTTCATAGATCAGATATTATACTTAAGTTACCCATACTATGAACTAACTGAAACATCTGTTACGTTGATCTGAATTAAATGTAAAGTAGCTCACATTATTACTAGAGGAGTGACAAATCAAGAAAAAGTCGCTAATTCTAAGAGTTTAATGGACCGACATACCTCGCGGCAGAAAATCTGCATGATGATAGAGTAAATATTAAAATATCATGTTAGCCCTGTCGTAGAGTTTTCTCACGGTGCTTTTTTTGTAAAATCGCGGTAAAGCGTGATTTCCGATTTTTTTTCTTTTTCATTATCAAACACAGGAACGCTTATAATTAATTCCTGAATGGAGATATCAGCAAATATTTGCCATGAAATGAAAGAATAATGTATCAGCTTTCATTCAATATCAAAATTAAATATCATATGAAAATACACATAGAGTGAATTTTATGGAACGCTACAGCATGTACAGCTGTCTTATGTGGTACTCTGATATTACGTTATATTGTTTTATTATTACTTTATGATATTTTGTCTTAACATAATATAGTTTTGACATTACGTAATGATGTTCTGATATAACTCAATATGAAATAGTCATTACTTAATGATATTTCGATATTACATGATATGGTTTCGTATTGACTTGATATAGTTTTGACATTACTTAATATGGTTTTGTCATTACTCGATGTGGTTCATAATTATTTAATGTGGTTGTGTCATTAGGCAATGTGGTTTTAACATTACTTTATATGTGTATGTGGCTTAACGTAATGTAGTGTTTCATTACATGATGTGGTTTTGTTATTTCGTAATGATGATTTGCCAATTCTTTATATGGCTTAAACATTACATAATGATGTTTCAAAATTTTACGATTTCACACGGCATGATGTCTTCGTTCCAGTAATTGGTGTGGTTCTGTCATTCTTTGATGTGGTTATCACATTACTTGATGAGGTAAAACCACATGACCATTTGGGAATATCTATTTTTAAACCGATTTCCATATGTTTAACAGGTCGGGAACACTACCTCATATGGATATTGTATAAATTAGCATACTTATGTTTTGCACGTGTAATTGTTTATTTACGTATGACGCAAATTTTATTTACCTTGGTTTCTGACCAATCCACAAATGAGTATTAATGCATGATGGACTACTACGTATTTACGATCAACCGAGAACACGTGTCATTCACTGAAATTCAACACTTTTTTTCATGCATTGCGGGATAAACAATTTCGCTTAGTTGTTTGTTGTTTGTATCCACATGTATAGTCCGTGATATAAAGTATTGTTGACATGCTCAGATTAACGAAGAGTTGTTTCTATGCGAAGAAACGAGTGTTTGAATTACCCAAAATATAGCCATTAATATGATTGATGATTACACGAAGATTTAAGATATTCGTCTACAAGAAAGCAACGAAACAACAGTGAAAAACACAATTACCCATAAGATAAATTGTCATTCAGATAGTTAAAAAAAGGGATTTTTGAATTTTGAGTTCGTAAAAAAGGGGAATTAAGAGGCCGACCTAAAGTAGAATGTATCAAATATTTGTTCGGGCACTAAAATTTACCAGTTTTTTTACAAAATTAATGTTATGATATTGTACCTTCTTTTATGATTAAAAAGTAATTTAAATCGAGAAAGGATATGTGTTTATTAATTTGTCTTAAAGAAACAAACACGTGTAATCCCCGATCGGTGCCATTTTTAGCCGACTATATGGTATGGGTTTTTCTCATTGATAGCCTTACGGTTACCTATAATTGCTTACAACCACTTTATTTGAACTTTGGCGGATAGTTGTCTCATTGGCAACCACACCACATCTCCTTATTTTTATATACAAACACCTTTCAGAAAAAATTGGTTTTCCATTATCTTGACTGAGAGAGATATTTACTATAGAATACTGTGTAATATTTCTATATATATTTAGAATTTGACAGGTACATAACCTGTATTAAACCTATATCATCTATCATATTTCATCATAACGGCTCAAAACATTTTTTAGCTCTTGTCTGACAATGTTAACAAAATCTATAAGTATTGGTATTTTGCATATTTCAGTTTTTTGGATTTTTGTTATATTTCAAACTGTTCCCTTTGTTCTGAAGGTAATGAAGCAACATTTTCCCCAGTCATTGCAAGCAGCTGTAGTTTCGTTTCTATTCGTCTTTGCAAAGTTTGTTTTCTTCTAACGTAGATATTGGAGTATTTGATCTTTTTAACAGACTCGGATATTTGCCAATCTTAATAAAATCATTTATGATGCTATCCATGTTTATGTGCGACAAGGACGTGAACTTTGATATGTTTTGTGAAAATTGCAGCGTTGGATCTAAACCTATTATATTGGTACAGGTATTTTAAACTGGACAGTGGTCACTTCATGGGAAATTTCACTGTTTTACGAGAAATTTATGCACATGTACAATGCATAACAATGAACAAAACGTGTTCAACTACTTTTACAAGGCGAAAATGAAAGTCGATTCGTGAAGCCAGTAAACAATATTTTTTAAAATCTGAGCATACAAATTGAAGATTATTTTATATATTTTACATGAAACACATTGTCTGAACAAAAACACATATCATGAGAGTCCCAGACACTATATTAGTTGACAGTTTTACCACTAATTCCACGTGTTTTTGAGTGGTAGTGAACCCGTAGTAGCCCGCAATGCATTGTAGTTTATTGTGTCAATTGGTCAGTTTTTCAAGGCCTTTGTGAAATTACTATGCAAATATAATCTGACGTCAGGAAATATAGAGTTCCCGACTTGTTTAATGTGCTTCGGATGAATGTCGCTATCCATTGAGTTTAAGTTCAAATTAAAGTTCGATTTGTTGTTCTGAGTTAATTTGGTATGAAAAAGGGGAACGGCAGACAAAAATAAGAAAAAAAGTATTAAAAAAATAACATTATTTCGGACATAAGGGGGATATCCTCACACCACTTGGGCCGGCCGTTTTTTTGTTTTTTCTCTCCCTAGTTCTAAAATGGAAGCAGTATTATAATTAATTCGTGAAGGATTCCACGGAACCCTCTGTCTCGCTTGAGATTGCTGCTGTCAGTTTAAAAGTGTAATGTTGACTGTAACAAGTCCATTTACCTGTAAAAAGTTTGTTTTTCTGTAGATGCTTTATCTTGATTTTGAAGGTTAACTCCTATACACATTTTTATAATAATTCATGGAGGTTTACAAATTTATCATGACAAAACAGTTTAATTCGGTAATATTTCCTGCAAA